TATGATAAAAATATTAAAGGACACCTTTCAAAATACATTTATGGTGAAAATCTCCAATCACGCGGTACGACGAATAATATATTCCGGCTCTATTAGCATTGGCTAATAATTATTACATCATCATGCGAACTCTGTCTAATAACATTGTAAACCAGGAATGTCAGATTAGTAGTCTATTCTTCTACGTTTTATTAGGAATTGTAGAATTATTCTCTTCGTATTTATTTGATTTTTCAAACAATTAAATATATTAATATTATATTCCCATTTACTTTTGAAAATTATTTTCAAGTTTTTATCATAAAATGTAAATATTTTGTAAATATTATTTATAATCTTTATATTTATATATATTTATTTTTATATTTATAGCACAATCGATAAAATAAGATAATAAATATATTATTTATCCTAATGATATTATATTTTATCCTATATAATTAATAGAATTAATAAATAGAATATTATCTATATTATACATTATAATACATTATAATATATTATAATTTAAATTAATAATAATTCATATCACGGACAATACTATATCAATAATATATATACTATATAATATATATACTATATAATATAATAATAATATTGATTTTCATGCTTCACTCCATCATTTGAAACAATATACAATATTTTCTGTATTGATTCATTTTTTTTTCTAATTTAGAATAGAATAATAAAATAAAAACAGATAAAATACAAATACAATATATCCTATAAACAAATAAACTAAAAATTTGAAAAATGGAAAAAGAAAAAAAAGAACCCTAAATATAAAATTTTAGTTTTATTAATTTGTGAAATGCTATCAATGAAAAAATATATAAAAATAAATACGAAAGATTTATATAATAATTACGAAGTGAAAATAATGGTATAAACAAAAAATTTGTTGTTGGAAAAAGATCGTTGTAAAAAAATGATATCCTAGTAAAAATTTAATATTATTTATAAATTATATTATATTATTTATAAGTGAAACATGAAAATTATAAGTAAAATAATTAAAGAAAAAAACAAAATAATTAAACAAAAACAAAAAAAGAAAAAAACTCTTACATAAGAAATTTCAATCATTTTTGGAGAATATTATTATTACATATGGAAATATTTAATATTTTTATTTAATAATATATGCTAATTAAATATAAAAAAAAGTTTTTGAAAGAAATCAAGAAATCAAAAGTGCTTTTGTCATCAAAAATCCTACAAATCCTGATAAGATAAACATGATTCGAAATAATTTTTGAATGAAAATTTATTAAATTTTATTTCAGATTATTATTTAAAACATTTATAAGTAATATATTTTTAGATACTTTTATAAAAATCAACAATTTATTATCTTTTATTTTAAAAAAAACATTAGAAAGAACTGAAAAAAAAGTTTTATATGACACTTATATTCGAAAAAACGCAAAAAGAGGTAAAAAATAGAAAAAATCAATAGGTAAAAATATTTGCCATGCAGATGTGATAATTGCACTACTTATTTTATACATTTATTTTAGTTTCGAATAGAAATTATATGTTAGCTATTAGGTTAGGAATAATAATAAAATTTAAAAGTACATTATCCATAGATATTGAAACCAGTGGCATCATTATGTCATCAGTTACTCTATTTGACGAACTCGAAACTTGACGATAATTACTACAAGAAATTTGTATAGTATTGTATATAATTGTATAATAATATTTGAATTAAACAGAATTTAATATATTATCAATGTCCGTATATACAGCTTTCAATATATAAACTGACTCACAATGAAACTTTATCCCAAAAAAATAAGATTTCTAATGAATTACACAAGTTAGAACACAAATCATGCTTTTTGAAACGTATATTATTCCCAGAATTAAAAAAATTACAGAATTTGGATTGTTTTGTTTTCAATGTTTGAGCAATTATTATTGAAATTTATAATGGAATTTATAATAAAACTGACTTATTTAAATAAACTTATACAACGATATAGACGATACTATGTTCAGTCAACTTATTCATCAATGTTCAAAAAATACATTATTATGATGGACTAAATATGTTGTATTTATGATATCTTTTTCTATGTGTGAATCTAGTAGTAGACTTCTCAAAAAAATCTTGAATCAATTCAATATTATAAATCTTAATGATTCCTGATTGTGTAATCTATTAACAAAGATCTTGTCAAGTTGTATAATCGTTTAATTGAACATTACTCATTTGATTTCTTTCCTTGTTTATTTTTATTCATCGACGAAAGCAATGATGAACTGTTCTTTTTTCACTGTGAAATTAATTTAATCTCTAATGAATGTTAAGATGGCATAATATTAATTTCTAATCTTCTAATAAATTGTTGATTTAGTTAATGGAAGTCGAATTAATATTGATTCTTCTGGACATTTTATTCATTGAATTTCTTACATATTTTGCAAATCAATATTTAATTGGCTCGTCATATTATCGACATTGCAATCGCTTTTAATAAAAATATAAAGATATTGAATAAAAATTGGTTATTGGATGAAATTTTTGAATCGTTTTTCAAAAGAACGGTTTATTTACATTTATGGTTTCTTTGAGACTTGCTTTTCACAACGAATATTATATGATACAATAAAAAAAAAACTGACTTTGAAAATCTATGTCAAAATCTTTTTTGAAGCAAAAACTTTTTACAAATCTCCATCAATCCAAAGAATTACGCTATGATGACTGCCACATTTATTTTATATATATATATATATTGTTAGCTACTTTTTTGGCTAATTTTTGTTACTTCAGCTAGACAACTATTCGATTTATGTACTATTACTATAATATATATAATGTATTATATATAATGTATGTATAATAATATACATTGTCCATCAAAAAAATTTGTTTATAATAATAATAATAAAAATATAATAATAATAAAATATTGTTTAATTTAAATATTTATTAAATATTTAAATTATTATTAAATAAATGAATTGAAATAAATAAAATTTTTTCTAATATCTTCTAGTAAAACATAAGATTCAAACATTATGAAAATATGATTTCTATATATCTTATTTTTTTTTTTTTTTGTAAACATTTCAAGGAAATACAGATAGTTTAAAAATTAAAATATTATGTATGTAAATATATATTTACCATATATATATATATATATTCTGCAAATCATAAGAAAAAATATGTATAATATATCTATACAATCAAATTTATACAATAATATACAATAATCTATACAATAACGCTAAATAAAGATATAACATGACTCTACTCATTAGGCGAACTATGGATAAAAACTAATATGATTTCTTAATAAAGTCAAATACACTTTAAAAACACTAATTTTATAAAAAAAAGCAAAACAAAAAATTTCTTTTCTATTCATAATTTTTTAATATTCCCTCTCTATTTTTTCCTCATTTTACTCAAAATTTTATGCTGGTCTTACAATCACCATTGTTTCTTTTTCTATAATTTTTCTTTAATAATATTCTAAGTTATTCCAATTTATTTTTAAAAATCTTTCATGAATTCTTTCCATTTCTTCTTCTTTCTCTATTCTTAAATTTTCCTATCACAGTGCACATCAACATATCAAAAAAAAATTTTTTTTTATTTATGTTTCAAATTTCTCTCATAATAGTTATCTTCTCAATCTCCTTAACTTTTTCCGATTTTTTTTATCTTATATTATAATTATATAAAATCCTTCATTTTTTCAGTTCTCTTTTCAATTTTATTTATATTTTTCCCCTCTTTCTTTTTCTTCCTGCTTTTATTTTAAAATTTTTTATTTTTCACATTTAAGCTTTAAAAACTATTTTTTAAATATTTTTTTAAAAATTTCATCATCTTATTTTTTTTCCTCAGTTAATATATTATTCGTATAAAATAAACATATGATTTTCTATCTCTAACTTATATCTCTCTTTCTAACTTCATTCCTCATTATTTCTCGTTCAAGTAATTTTATAAATTTGCTAAATTAGATGATAAATAATAAATTTGATATATTTTTAAAATATATCTAAATTTTTAATAAATCTGAAATTTGTACTGCAAAATGAATTATATTTTTATAAAACTTTATTGTTTAAATTGATAATTAATTTCATAGAATTTGATATAATATATATAATATTTATGATATAATAAATATACTTATTTTTAGCGTAATTCATTCCATTTTGATTTATATATGCGAAACTTCTAATATGAAAATTTTTGATCAATAAATGAAAATTTATTATCAAATAAATTTATTATCGAAAATTTATTATAAATTTTCAATTGTAATAATTTTAAGTAAAAAATAAATACCATTTTTTAATTTTTCATTATTTATTTACTTACATTTATACATATAAGATATAATCATAGCTTATTGAAAAATCAAATTAATTATTCTGTCATGATCTATAACATCAATGTAACTAGCATTTTATCATTCAAGAGACAATCACCAATGAAATATTGTAATCTACTATAATTTTTCCTTATGATATTCAATTTTATGTTTAAATATTGGAAATATTAATTTAAATACCAAAAAATAAAATATGTTTCTATCTATATAAAAGTACATTGTAAGATAATGTTAATAGCAACATTTTTAGAATTACTTATTGTATTTATATTTATTACTTAAAATATTAGACAATAATTAATAATTAATAATATTGAATATAAAATAATTAAATAAATTTTTCATAAATCAACAATCAAATTATCTTTTATGTTCGAAATTATATTTCAATTTTATTATCATATATATTTCGAAATATTAGATAACATTTATATTATTTTATTTATGAATATAAAATTTATTAAGTTAAAAAATATGTTTGAAAAATATTTATTGGGAAATATATGTTCAAAATTTATTACTATTGTTACTTCAAAAAATTGACTACATAAAAATTTGAATATGATTATTTGAATATATTATTATTGAAAATTATATATTAATATTTAATGCTAGATCTTACTGTTCATTTTATAAAATGCACATTCTTTGTTTCACAAATAAAAAATGATCTAGTACATTTTAATTCATGTTTTTTTAATATTAGAATTCAAATGAGTATAGTCATTAAGATGTAATTTTTAACGACTATTTGTAGAATAGAATAACTTGGCTATAATAATCAAGTTATATGACATATATAGATATATATATAAAACATAGTCATATTCTTTTAAAATCTCATACAGTTTAATTATGTAATAATACGTACGTTCAGCAATTCAATTTGAAATAACTAAATTAAGTAATATCTTAATTATTATCTTAGATAATCTAAAAATGCACCCAACATCTTTTAATTATCATCAGCATCATCATCATCATCTGATATATATTTTTTAGTGACTCTTTTTCTTCGTCCTCCTCTACCTTCACCTTTTCTTCCTTTCAATTTAATTTTCATTCTAACGCTAGAATCTGCATCCGATCCATCTTCACCATCTTATAAAAATTTACATATGAAATCATTAGTGTTAATAATTATTGTAATAGTCTAATAATAATTATTATATTAAATAATATTTTACCTTTATCATCTAAATCAGAATTATTTCCTTCTTCTTCGATACGTTGACGTGCATTTGTGAAAACAGATTGTAAAACAATGGAATCTTCATGTATGAGAGAAGCTTCTTCATTATAAATTTGTGCATTTTTACAGAGCTGCATAAAATCTTTCTCAAGATCATCAAAGTCGGCATACTATGAATAAATATAAAATAAATTTTGTCATTGTCAACTAATAATAGTTATAATATAATATATAAGTTACAATAAATAATAATATATGCTAATAAAAAAAAAAAAATAAGATTTACCTTTCCTTCCTCAATTTTTTGAAGTAATTTATTGATAGTTAATGGCTTTTTAATAATTTCATAGTAATCTGGTAATTCTCTTCTGGATGGTAATTTCATAAATGGTTCACTAAGAAGCCTACCATCTGTACTATCGGTATAATTAACAACTACCATAAGCAATTTTTTCATAGCTCGTTTCATTTTTGGGTCAATCGAAGATCCTGTTCCTCTTCGTTTTTTTGGCATAGGTTCATCATCTTCTTCGCCTTTTTTCTTTCGTTTTCTTGTTTTCTTTTTCTTTTTATCATCTTCCTCTTCCTCTTCATATTCAGCACCATCATCATCAATTGCTTTGAGCCATTCTTTTTCAGTTAAGCTATCAGTATAATCAACTTCTTTTCGTTGTCTCGAGCCGCGTCCAAGAAATCTATCCTCATCTTCTTCATAAGTCCATCTTTCAACTTCATCATCATCTTTAACTAACCAATCGGGCAATTCAGCTTCTTCTAATAATCGAGATTTTCTATTTGGACCTAACTTGGCTTCTTCCCTTCTTCGTTCTAAATCTAATTTTTGGAATATTTCAAATTCTCCTTCTGTTCGTGCAATCATTTGATTAACTGTTTCATCATCTGGTACTTCATTTTCTTCTTCATCTTCGGCATCATCTTGATGCAAAATACTTTGTAAAAATTGTTGTCGTTCAGAACCAGTGGATTTTTGATCGAACATTCCTGCTTGTATAACCTTTTCATCCATATTCAATTTATATCTTGCTGCAGCCAATATTCTTTCTTCAACTGAATTAACTGTCATTAATCTGAGTACACGTACTTCATTCTTTTGGCCAATTCTATGTGCTCTATCTTGTGCTTGTAAATCCTGATGTGGATTCCAATCAGAATCAAAAATAATAACAGTATCTGCAGCTTGCAAATTTAATCCAAGACCACCGGCACGCGTTGATAGCAAGAATAAGAAATATTCAGAACCAGGATCATTGAATTTCTTTAATAAATCTCCTCTATCTTCAGCTTTTGTAGTACCATCTAACCGCAAATACATAAACCCTCTCCAACTTAAATAATCTTCCATAATTGTCATTAATTGTGTCATTTGACAAAATAATAATACTCTGTGATTTGTTGCTTTTAATTTCGGAAGAATACGATCTAATAATTCAAATTTTCCAGATGCACGATACAAATCAGGACCAGTAATGACACCAGATCCTTGTGTACCTACATGTTCGCAATATTTTTCTTCAATAGCTTGAAACATAAATGGATGATTACATAATTTCCGTAATTGTACAATGGTATTCATTAGAGCTTTAGCGCCTCCTTTACCCTGTTTTCCTTTTTCTGAACCATCAGTTAACAATACACCTTTACTTTGCATGTGTTTATAAAGAACTTTTTGAAGTCCAGACATATCACATTTAATAATATATTCTACTTTATCTGGTAACTGTGATTCAACTTCTTTTTTTAAACGTCTTAATAAGAAAGGACGTAATACTTTATGTAATCGACGAATTATCAGAATAGTTTCTTCTTCATTTAATTCAACTTTTTCACCAGTAGTTGCGAATGGAGCATTAAACCATTGCTCAAAAGTACTGCAAGATTTGAAAATTGAGGGAAGTAGAAAATTTAATAATGCCCATAATTCGGGCAATTTATTTTGTAACGGTGTTCCTGTTAGTAGGAGTCGATGAGGAGCCAAATAGTGAGTATTTAACACTTGAGTTAGCTTACAATGATGATTTTTCATTCTATGTCCTTCATCAATAATCATATATTTCCATTGTAATTTTGCTAAGACACCCTTGTCTTTAATAACATATTCATATGTAGTAAGCAAAACATTAAATTTAGTTGCTCTCATTTGAGATTGAATAGCTCTTCTACCAGCTGGCGAACCTTTATATGACACTACTACAACACTGGGAGCCCATTTTTCAAATTCCAATACCCAATTTGATAAAGTTCTAAAAAAAAATATATGATTATAAATATAAAAAAATAATTTTAATTAATTTCTTATATTTTTTTTATTTATTTTGGAATATATAATAAAAATAATACATACGATAATGGTACAATGATAAGAAATGGTCCGTTAACTTTTTTCTTTTCCATAAGATACGTTACCAAGGCTATTGTTTGAATAGTTTTACCAAGACCCATTTCATCCGCAAGTATACCATTGAGATTATTGTTGAATAAGGAAACTAACCATTCCAGACCCTACAATTTATATAAATTTTATAAATATATATTATAAAACTAGTTTTAAATACAAAACATATATATTAATATCAAACCTTTATTTGATATTCCTTCAATTTTCCATTCACCATAATAGATGCTTGTTCTGTTACTACTTCATGCACAGTATGTGCAATACTATAATATGTTTGTTCTTCTGTTTTATATTCATCGTCTTCTACTTTCGCTTTATGTATTGTCTTTTTCACTTTTTCTTCTTCTGAATCACCAGTACATTTTTCTTTATTTTCATTTTTCTCTTCGCCTTCGTTTTCTTCTTCTTCTTCATCTTCATCTTCTTCACTTTCTGATTCAATTGGTTCCCATCCTGGATGGGATTCTAAAAATGTTGAAAGTTGGCTCATTAGTGGAGCTTCTTCACCAGTTAATGTACGACCAGTAGCTGTTTCAATTACTCCAACACGAGTATCCTCATTGGCATTTCCTTCTTCACCTCCTTCACCATCTTGTAGTTTCTTCTTTTTCTATTTGAGTAATCAAATAAAATTCATTAAATTATTAATTACATTAATTACATTAAAAAAAAAAACAATAAAAGATATGCGTACTTTTTTACGTTTTTGTTCTTCCACTTGTTTTCTTTTTTGTTCAATCTTATGTTGTTTTACCATTTCAGTAAGATTACTGATATATTCGTCTGTCTGTGATAATAGAAATGCTAATCGTTTGTCTTTCTTTTGATCAATTAGTTTCCTGTAGCCTTCTTCATCTTCTGCCATAAGACGCCTCATACGTTCTTTTTCAATCCGTTCTTGTTCTTTCTTCTGTTCTCTTTCAGCATTTGCATGATAATTGAGAACAGCTTTATTGAGCCTAGCCAATTTGGCCACATTGTTTCGATGGAATTCTTTGAAATCTTTACCATGTTGAAGTACAGAACTAAGAAACTCCTTTTAAAATAATAATAAAAATTAAAAATTATAAATTATTTTTCTATTTAACGATTAAAATAAAAGATTAAAAATTTAATTACTTGATGCTTTTGTCTGCGTTTTCTTTCAGCTTCTAATTTTTGTTGTTTTTCAAGTTTCTCAGTAGCTCTAGCTTCTCGAAGGCCTTGTCTTTTCGTACGCTTATAAGCTTTTACATTTACTGCAGTTTCTAAAGTAGTATCTTTTCGAGTACATGCTAAAATCTAAAATTAATAATAATCTAATTGAAAGAAATATTTATAATAATAGAATAATAAAATTAATATTGTTATAATTACCTCTGATCGTAACTGTCTTTGAAAATTCAATACTCTAAGCATTCGTAATTCAATTTGCGCTTGAATGCGAAGATCTTCTGGCATATTAGTTGGTAAATTACTCAATTGTTCCATTCGTAATGCTATACGTGCTGCCACTCTGTTAATAGTTTTAGTTAAAATATTGATAAAATAAAATTTTGGGATTATTATTTTTTGGAAAAAAATTTTCATAAATATATTCAACGAAAAAAATAAATATATAATATGATATAATATGATTTTATAAGATATATAGCATATTCTATTTGAATTGATAGAATGAAATATTTTTAAAATTATGCTTTATATTATACATTTTTTTTATATTATACATTATGTTAAAAAATATTTCATTTTTATGTTAAAAATTATAATAATTATATTATATATATAATATATATTTATAAATATATACATATTTATTAATTGACATTAATTGATATTAAGTTAACGCAATTTTACAATGATCAATTTAATTTTAAGTAGGAAATCCTATTTTTTTATGACAGATTTTAACAAAAATCAAATACTTTTTATTCTTATTAATTTTTTAATGTAATTTTCTATTAAGATATTGACTTGGAAATTTTTAATCCTAATCAGTTAAGCTTTTAACCAAAATTTTTACTTAACTTAAATATTAATGTATAAATTGCAGATATTATTTACATTATTATACAAATATTTTTTTTTCATATTAATATTTTATATATTTATTCATATAAATAATTATATATATGTGTGTGTGGATGTTACAAATTTTCATTTTCCTATTAATTCTACTTCCATAATAGATAAATATAAGTAAATTTAATTATATTTCAAATAAATCTTCTCATTAGAATTTTAATAATTCTGAAAACCAAAGAAAATTTTATAAATAATTCATTCATAGAAAAAATAAAACAAATCTCAATATGATAATATTGAAGCAATATGTTCCATTAGATATTGTAATATAGAATAAAATTTTTTAATCTTTCTCATATAATAATAGTAATAGTAATAATAATAATAATAATTTCTCAAAAATAATATAATAATTTATCAGAAAATTATGAAAAAATTTTTATATAATATTACAATTAAAATTTTATTAATAAATATACATAGTAAAATTAATTGTATTTTAAATATATATATATTCAAATATATATATTCTATATAACTTGGCATATATTTTAAATAACACAATATATTTTTATTACATATTAAGTAAATATTTGAACTTTTAATTGCATAAAAGTCTTCAATCAAAGTATTCAATTAAAATTAAAATATTATTCAATTAAAATATTTTCAAATCAAAGGTATTATAGTGAATATCAAACTCTTATTACAAGAATTAATTTCTAAATCAAATATCTTTTCAAAAATAAAAAATCAAATTGAAAGAAAGTATATAAAAAATTACATAAAAATTATATAAAAAAAAGTATATATAAAAAAAAATTATCTTTCTTGTTAATCCATTATTAAGAATCATCATAACAAACCATATCATCATAACGAAAATGAAATTTTTATTTAAAAAAATTAATCATAGTATAATTATAAAGTTCTTTGTCAAAATATATTTTGGAGATTGATGTTTTCTGATGTATTTTATATTATAATAATTAAATAATAAGATTAAAATAAATTTATAATTTATATTTTAACTTGTGTGTCTTTGAATTTGTCACAAAAATGAAAATAATTTGAATTTTAGATGAAAATTTAGAATTATATTATTTCTAAATTATAATTTTTCAAATTTGTATTTTTTGAAAAAATAAATTTTTAATCTTTAAAATTTTATATACTATAACTATATTTATATATTTATAAAAAGTTTGACAAATGTTTCAAATAAAATACTATAATAAACTATTATATTTATAATAATATTTATATCATTGTAATTTTATTTAATTTTATTTATTATTTAACTTAAATTTATTTTATAATTATTATTTATATTTAATTTAATTATATTATTTTAATTTAATTTATATTTATATTTAATTAATTACATATTTTATTATAAATGCATATTTTTATTTATTTTCTATTTTATAAAAATTTTAAAAAAGTATTAAATATTACAATTAAAGATATTAAAAATATAGTAATATTACTAATATAATGTAATGTAATAAATATAACTTAGTATAATTTAAATAAATTTTTTATTAAATTTAATAAATAGTTTTTAATAAATTTAATAAATACCTGTTTTCACGTTCTTGTAAAATTAACAATGGATCTAAACCAGCTGGTTTTGTGACACTTGTCACTCTGTTAGTTTTAGCACCTGGTTGAGGAGGTTGTTGTTGTTGTTGTTGTGGTGTCTGGCAGCTTGGTCTTGGAGGAACTGTAGAACCAATTACATTTGGTCCTGAGATTTGTGGACCTGTAGCAGCAGTGGGTCCTTGAGATGGATCTATAGGAGTTCGTTGCCCCATAGGTGAAGGAGGAGGAGCTCCACCTATTTATATATTAACATTAATCATATAAATTTGCATTATAGATTTCATAATATTCTATTATTTTTAATATGTATTAACATTTGGCATAATTTTTGAAAAATTCAAACAAATAACAATATGTTATATATAATTATTATATATTTGTATAAATATTATATATAACAACATAATATTCATTAATTTAATAAAAAAATAAGAAATGCATATCTAAAATATAAATTATATTTAATAAATTTATTATAAGACCTTTAGTTTAATTTAATATACAATTAGTTTAAATATAAATTTAGTTTAATTTAATATACAATTGAATTTTTCTACCAAAAAAATGATTAAAGAAAGTTTATATATAATATAAAAATATTATTAAAACAATACTATTTTATCTAATACATTATGTAATTCTAACACAAAATCAATTTATAAAAAATATAAAAGATTTATTTAAAAGATTTTTTTAAAGATTTAAAAAAATTAATTTCTTTTTGGAAAATTTTGTACATACAATATAATATACACATGTAATGCAAACAATATAAAAAATAAAGTAATCACTTAAAACATAAAATTAATAGTATATTTTGTCTAATTTACCTTGAACTGCAAGTGCAAGTTGTTGCGATAACGGTTGATTTCTTGCTAATAATCGATATGCCATTATCTGAACTCTGTAATTAATGATTTATAAAATATTGAACTTATAAAATATTTACAAAATTAATGAAAATAGTTATAAATATAATTAATTTATCAATTTATATACCGTAATTGTTGTAATTGTTGTGAACTCAAAGTTTGTTTTTCTCCCATATTGCCTTGACGCGCTCTTAATGCAAGTAATTGTGAATAACGCGGATCTTCTTGAAGTCCTTTTTCTTCCATTGAATCAATAGCTTTTTGTAAAGCATTTAAGTTTTCCTGTCCAGCACCAGGTGGACCTCCAGGTCCACTAGGACCAATCTGACCAGGTCCAGTTTGACTCATTTGATTTACAGGTGCATTAGGTACAATTGGTGCTGAACCTCCAGGTATAATTTGTTGATTTTGTGAACCAGGTCCCATTTGACCAGAAGGTGATTGTCCAGCTGGTCCACTTAATCCCATTTGATTGGTTGCACCACCATGACTAAGCTGATTGCTTGGACCACCTGGTCCCATTTGATTACCACCAGATCCCATTTGATTTGTAGTGCCACCTGGTGGTATTTGTCCACCTGGACCACTAGAAACCATTTGTCCTCCAGAATTACCAGATCCTATTTGACCACTTGGACCCATTTGTGCGCCTGGACTAGATCCCATTTGATTACTTGAACCATTTCCTGGACCCATTTGTCCACCTGGTCCATTTCCTGGACCAATTTGACCACTAGCTCCACTTCCTGATGTCATTGGATTTCCAGAAGGATTTCCAGGTCCCATTTGATTTCCACCACTTCCAGGTCCTATTTGTCCTCCAGTATTATTTCCTGGGGTTATTTGTCCTCCACTGCTTGATCCAATTTGTCCACCAGGTCCACTACCAGGGCCAATAGGCCCTCCAGGTCCACCACCAGAATTCATAGGTCCTCCAGGTCCACCACTAGAACCCATAGGTCCTCCAGGCCCATTACCTGGTGGTATTTGTGATCCAGGACCACTTCCCGGCATCATTTGCCCAAGACTATTCGGTCCTCCACTTCCTGGACCCATTTGACTACCAGGTGGTCCGCCTGGTCCCAATTGACTTCCAAGTCCCCCCATTCCCATTTGTGATGAAGGAGTTCCCATATTCATTTGTCCAGGACCATTTGGACCCATTGGCGAAGGCCCATTATGTCCCATTTGTCCTCCTGGACCAACAGATCCCATGAGATTTGGACCCATTGGAGCTTGATTATTAGGGACCATTTGATTTGGTCCACCAGGACCCATTTGATTTGGTCCTAAGTTATGTGTAGCAGGACCACCTGGCGGCATTTGACCCGGTCCTGGACCTAAATGATTTCCACTGGGAGTCATATGTCCAGGTCCTGGTGGACCATCTGCATTCATATGTCTTGGAATAGGTGGTCCAGTATTTAGGTGATTTCCAGGAGGTCCACCGGTATTCATATGAGTTGAACCTGGTGGTCCTGTAGTATTCATGTGTCCAGATCCTGGAGGACCACTTTGATTAACATGTCCTGATCCTGGCGGTCCATTAGTCATATGTCCTGGACCAGGTGGACCACCTGAAGCCATATGACCTGGTCCTGGTGGCCCTGTGGCATTAATATGACCTGATCCTGGTGGACCACTCATATGTCCAGGACCTCCAGGTACCATTTGCGAATTTGGAGGTCCTCCAGAACCCATTTGTGGACCTGACATTGGTCCATTTCCAGGACCCATTTGAGTAGGAGACTGACTCATGTGTGGACCTCCTGGTGGTCCTCCACTTGTTTGTCCCATATGAGTTGGTCCAATCTGTCCTGGACCTATTTGTCCAGGTCCACCAGAATTCATTTGTCCTGGTCCATTTGTATTCATTTGATTTGGACCAGATTGCATCATATGTGATGCTCCTTGAGGTCCATTTGGTCCCATTTGACCTGGTACTATAGGTCCTCCAGGAACCAATTGAGAACTAGAATTTTGATTGACTGATCCACCAGGACCACTTTGATTCTGTAACATTACAAACAAATTTCTTTTATTTATTGTGAAATTATTTTTTTTTAAAGATATAATTCTTTATAAAACAGGAAAATAGATAATATAGTTATTCATGAATGGTGAAAATAAATATATCTGTTTACTGTTAGAATTTAAGAAAAGTATTTAATATTAAATATTAGAAAATATATTTATACAGAATATAAATATATTTATATAGAAGTAAGAAAATAATAAAAAATATATTTCTTTCTTAATATAACATTTATAGCTTTAAAATTTTATTGAATAGAAAAAAATTATATTTTATTTTATTTTATTTTATATAATTTTAAATTATCTTCCTGTTTAATGTTTTACTTCCTATTATATCAATAATTCAGCATTTTTATTTTTTTTTCAATATTGATTGAATATTTGATTTTTATTTCTCTTTTTAAATTCTGTTTTTTACTAAAAGAAAAAAATCAGAGAATGAAATTTGAAAAAGTACATATTTATATATATATATACATATTATCATATTAATTTAAATTAAATAAATATTTATTTCAAATACATATTAATGCCATTCAAATGGAAAATATTAATTTAAAATTGTGATATAATAATATAAATTGATAAAATTACAAATAACGTAAGAACAGTTATATATTAAACATTTATAATTTTCTATATTATAATTATTTATTTAAGTAAAATTACATGTAATAAGTATGACTTATTTCAATTAATGCAAAATTATAAAATAAAGAAATATTTAATTAATTTTATTAATCCATCAATAAAATCATAATAAAATATAACAATTAAATTTGCAAACAAATCAAGATAGAAAAATAGATTAAGATACATATTCATTTATTTCTGTTATTACATAATTATATAATATTTTTGTATATAATTGTATAAGTTAAATCATCAAAATGTGAAAAAAAATCTATTTAAACATGAAAAATCAATTTTTCAAATCTATTCAAAATCAATGAAATTTAAAATATATATTCCTAAATATTTAGAATTTTTTTGAAAGTACTTTGAAAACAGAAAAAATGGATCGATTGCAAAATTGTTTTTTCTGAAATTATTCAATTTTGCATTATATCTTTTTATTAGCAAAAATTTATTTAAAATTAATGATATATTAAACAATAGATTTTCAAATATATATCTATATATATATATATAAAATATATAACAATTATAAGAATATACTTATTTCTTTCAAAAAATATCATTTTAGAAATACCTATTTTCTCAATTATTTTAGCAATATTTATAAAATGAAAATCATGAAAAGTCAATGAATTTTGCATAAGAACATATATTAATATTATCTATTAATGTAAAATGGATAAAAATTTCTTGCCAATATTTGTCTCTTTAAAAATTATAAGAATAAATGTTATAGTATATGTTATATAATAAATATGAATATGTAATTATTTGTTATGAGTATATATATCATTATATACTATCATACTATATATTATATACATATATATATACATATATTTATCATGAACTTAGGTAAATGCTTATGAAATTTTTAAAAATAAAAATGAGAAGTACCAAAATTTATAATAGCTTTTTGTAGTTCTTAAGAATTAGATATTATAAACTGTGCATAATCCTAGATTTAAATAATCAATGGAAATTCAGAATATTCACAGAAAATATAATCTATTGATTGTATTAACTTGTATTCAAACTAATAAATGAACTAATGTTTCAAATTATTCATTTTTTTAAGATAAATTTTCAAATAAATTACTAACATTCATATATCCCAATTATTCTATTTATAAAAAATTTTTTTACTTATTTATTTATAAGAATTAAAAATCTATAATATTAATTGAATTTTTACCTGCGGACTTATAGAAGGTTGCATTTGTTGTGGATGCGATGGATAGGTCTGTTGTTGTGGTGGAGGTTGTTGAGGTGGACCAGACATAGGTATACCACCAGGTGGCATTTGTGGACCAGTTTGATATCCTTGTGTTGGACTATGAGGATGATGTTGTGGTGGACCCATAGGACTACCTTGTGGATTAGATGGTGATGGTGCCTGCTGAGGAGGACCCATAGGACTTGGTGTTTGCGGTGGAGGCATAGGAGATGATTGTGGTGATGGACTTGCCATACTGAAGTTTTCGAATTTGATAATATATATAGTTTACCTAAAATACATAAGGAATTATAAATAACTAATACTTATTTTTTAATCATATAATTTTATCATATAATCATAAAATATAAATTGCGAATTATTACTTATATACTTATATAATTATTATTTTTGTTATTTTTATTTTTTGTTAAAAACTGTTAGAAATAATATAAGTTATCAGATTATAATAAATTTTATCAAATTATATGAAAACTTATTTTAAATAAAATTTTAATTAATTTGATCTTGTACAATTTAAAGTCAAAATTAATTAAAAGTTGAAAATTTATTAAATGTTTTAAAAATACTCATGCAATATGATATAAAATAATTAAAGTAATATTTCTAATGATAAAAAAATTATTTATACATTAATATTTTAATTTAAATTCAATAATATTAAAAATATATAAAATAACTTAAGAATTGTTAAATATTAAATAAAAAATAATATAATAAAAAATTAAATAAAAAATTAAAATAAAATATTAGTAAAATATTCTATTACTATTTTTCTATTTTTTAAAAATTATATTAATTTTAAAATTATATTAATATTATAATTATATATTAATATGATAAACTAATAATAATAATATTAAATATAAAATATATAAATTAAATTACTTTTATAAATATATTTCATAAAATTAATTTTTTTTAAATAGATATTTATATTTACTAATTAAAATATATATTTTAAATAATTTATTTTAAATAACATTATATATAATATAATATAAAGCATAAGATTTTTATACATAATTGTTTGTTTTTTTTTAAACAAAAAATGTATAAAAAATCTTTGTCGTAAAATAACAGTAATCAGTAATATATAGGATATCTATTTTATTTGGACATAATCAAATATCTTAAAAAAAAATTAAAAATGTTCATACAAAAAAAAATTATTTGTTATGAAGAAAAACTTGATGTTATATAAATATATTTTTTTTATTGAAGGAGTGAGAAATTTCAAGGTCAAATCAGTTTATAATTGAAATTATATTTGAATTGAAATTAAACTGTTCTTTTTGTATATAATATGATAATATATATTAAAACAAATTTTACATGCTAAATCATTTTGTTCTGTGATATATTTAAAATTATTAAGTAATATATGTTATTCATTTTTAATCTGAGCATTACTTTGTTAATTTATTATTTATTATTAATTATTGTTTATTGAAAATGTATTTATTATTAATTATCATTAATAAAAATTTCTTAATATGTAAACAATTTACAAATTTTTTATGAAATTTCAATTTTGTAAGTTTTCAATCAAGAATAAGATATTGTATATATATCGTATATACATATATATTCTTTATTTCACAATAAAAAATATTAAAATTATAAATCTAAAATTTTTTCATACTAATAGATGTACTAATGATCACACTATTATTTTGTATATAAGAAAATATAATATTTCATTTAAAAAAATAAACTTGACTTTGAAATCTCTTACACTATTTCACTGACAAAACACAACAATTATATATTATATCTCTCTTTATATAAAGTAACTGAACGTTTTTTTTTTTTTATATTTTGTCTTTCTTGAAATATTCGAATGTCAATAAAACAAAACATATCTTGTATGTTTCTTAATACTAATATTTTAAAAAATCAGATATTTTCATGTAAAAAATTTGACAACTCATTTCTTTGAATAAATACGAATATTCCATCCAATTACAAAATCATTATTATATACAAAAATTTATATACGCACATACCGTTTCAAAATTTATTTTATCATAGAAGAAAATTTAATTTTACTCTTAAGATCTATTTAAAATGAAAAGATTATAAAGATTTACAACAACTTCAATATAACTGATCAACATACGCTGCCGACCATTTTCTTGTTGTCCCTAGTCCCTAGGCATAATACGATAGCACATCAATAATCATGGCCATCCATTTAAAACTATTTTCTATGTTAATATATGTATTCTTTTAAATGAAAATTTATATTATATTTTGCATTAACTTTGATTAATAAATATATTCATTATATTTGATTATCTAATTATCTTTTCTTTTAATGAGTTTGAATATAACTGTAAAAATTAAATATTGATTAGAATTGTTTAGAAACTTTAATATAATAGTATAATATGTTATAATATCAATATTTAGAGATTCAATAATTACATTAATTTTATATTATTTTGTAAAACATCATAAATATATTTACACTTTTTCACTTAAAAAATTTTCATGTCTAGATACATTTATTTAAACTGAAACTTTTCAAAACCCTAGATTTCAGAACTCGATTATAATAGAATAATTTAAAATATATTTTTTGTTATTTTTAAAATTCATTTTTATATTAATATAATTAAACAAAAATTTATATAGATTATAAATGAATATTCAGTAATCAATAATATAACATTGATTTATGAAATATCATATTATGGCCTATTTTAAATACAAATTATAGTGAAAATTAATTCGACAACAATGTTAGAATCTATGTTCAGTTACTGAATTACTAGAAATTACTAACTTTTTCCCGCGATTTTATGAAATGTTCATTTCTAATTATATATATTACAGTAAATAAAATATACAAGAATATAATAAAATAATTCTGTTATTCAGTATATACACCTATTATTCGCATAGTATGAACAATATAACGTAAATTTATATTTATATTAATTATTAATTAATTTCTTAATATTTATTTGTAATATAATTGTATTAAATATTAATTATTTCTTTTTTTTATATAATAATATATTAATAGAGATTAAAATCAATTATTTCAAATTATTATTTCGTATTTTTTTTAATTTTATATGTTATAGAATATATAAATACAATAATATAATATATTATACTACTTTTATTGTTATATTTTCATTTTTCTTAATTAAAATTTTATAAATTAATAATGCTATAACATTTTATATATATATATATATATAAAAAAAAAATGAATGAACTAAATAAAATTGTTTTATAAATTATTATATATTAATTATAGATGTATAAAGTAAAATATATATAAAATAATAAATTAAATTATTATTATATAGTATATAGATTAAAAATAAATGTTGACAAAATTCATCTATTTTCTTATTAGGCTTAAGTTTTCGAGATAAAATTTATTAACAAAATCATTTTGTAACAGCAAAGACCAGATTGTTAGCAGAAATCTAACAGATCTTACATAATTTGTCAAATTAAAAGCAAAAAATAAAACAGAGTATATTCTAATAGCAAAAAGAAGTTTCTATAACTTTAAAATCATTTAAATTTTAAATGGAAATGCATGTACTATCATTTAGAATTTTTCAAATTATTCTTATTCTTATTATTATTTAGTTTATTATTACATATATTTATATATTTATTATTTTATAATGTATATCTACAATTTAAATTTCACTTAAAATTTTTATAAAACAATGTAAATTTATACACACTAAATTAGAAGTTTAAAATAATTAGATATTTCAAGAAACAATAAATTTTAAAAAATTATTATTGAATATTGATATATATATAATTGATATATTATTAATATATATCAAAAATTTAGAGCATTCTAATAATAAATTATATATTAATACATGATTTTTGGAAAATGTAATTATATTAAGTTGTATTATGATATGTAAAAATTATAGATAATTTTTCATAAATATCTTATATATTATTTTTATTTTCTTTTTTTTCTATTTTCTATTTTATTTTTATTTTCAATTTTTACTTTGGTTTGAATTTGAACATCCCATTGATGATTTAAAATTCTTTTCATACACTCTGATAATACTATTGTTATAGATATGCTACAGATGATTGATTCATTTTCTGAAATGCAATTTTTTATTTAAAATATTTTTTTGGGACTTCTTGAAAAATTTTAATATACAATCAGAGAAAAAATTAAGTGGCAAATAGCAATTAACAAAATTTGTTGATAAAATTTAATCAAAATCATAATTTGTTATGTGATTAAATTTCATTTCTTGCATGTCTTTATATATATATTATATATTATATAGTTAATGATTAAAATTAATGTTAAAATTAAAATATAGTTAATGATTAAATTAATATGTGTACGAAAAATTAAATTTGTAAAAATTAGAGAGATTAGAAGATTGATGAAATCAAATTTGAGACGTGACAATTAAAGAAAATGCAAAATATTATATATAATGCAAAAGAAAATTAAAATAAGATATGATTAAAGAAATAATTCATTGATGATTAAATTTTGTAGTAATTAAAATTGTGAAGATTATTTTCTTAGAAATGGATTGAATTAACAAAAAAATAAATTTTTTTAATAAAAATGAATTTTTTTAATAATTTAAGATGAATATTTGAAAATTTTGACAAAGATTATAGAAAACTTAATAAAAAATAAAAATATATTAGATAGTAATTGTAGCAAAAAATAGTAATATTATTTATAATGTCCAATTATTTTTATCTATCTATAATTAATTAATTTTTTTAAATTTTAGTTGACAATGTTAATTTATTTTATAATTTTAAATATTAATTTTAATTGTTAATTTCATAATCATCAACTGTTTTCATCATTTAACTATTTAATTTTATCTCTAATTATATATAGATAAAATTATATATAGATTTGCATGTAGCAATTTTCTAATTAATTTTTATTAATTTCTAAATTTATTTCATAATTCAAAAAAACAATACTATTATTATTTTGACAATTTTTTTTTTTTAATTGAAAGTGATATTACAACATTAAATTTTAAATTTCTTATTTTATTTTTATATGTCTTTATTGTTTATTCCTCTAAATAAATTTGAATAGATAAAAGATTAAAAATAATTTGTTATCAAAATCTATATATAAAATATTTATTATTAAGTTAATTTTTAATATTATAGTAATAAATTCTAAAAAAATTCAATTCATGCTTTTTCTTTTCTTTTATCAATCATTATATTTTCTATATGCAAATGTGAAATTTTATATTTGATAATATAATTATATTATTTTTGGTTGCTCTAAAGATACTATTATAAACCTTATATTTTATATTCACATTTCTGCAATTATGTTACGAATTTAGAATCCTAAAATCAAGCATCTCTAAATGTTTATGTGCCTCAAAAAAACAAAAAATATATGTCAATATTTATTCATTACTTCATAAATTTATTACATAATTTAAAAAGTTATATTATTATTGTTTTAATATATTTTTTTTTTAATTAAAAATGATGAATATTAAATACATATCTTATTTATTTCTTCCTTTGAATTAATTTTAATGATTGAACTTAGACTAAAAATCATTTTTTTATCATAATTTACACAAAAAATGTTTATTATTAATTAATTTGTATTATAACAATAATTTCAAAAACTTTAAAATTATAATTATTAAAAGAAAAACTAATAAATTTAATAATAATTAAAGTTAAGTATTAGTTAAAACTAATAAATATTTAATATTTAATACATATTTAATGTGTAATAATATTTAACATATACATAAAAAAAATAAATACTTATATTTTTAAAAATATAATTAATTTGAAATTATCTTGATTTATAATTAATTTACAATTATATTGAAAAAATATTTTATTATAAAAATATTAAATATTTATTTTGTGTGAATTTTTATTTTATTTATATTACATATTTATAAACATTCATACATTTAAAATTACATTTATAAACATTTAAATCTTCCAAAAAAAAAAAATATAAAATTAGTAAATCAACATATTTCAAAATATGAGACAAATAAAAAAAATATTTAAATTTATATTCATTAACATAACACACATGATTAGTGATGTTCGAATTATACTCTCTCTCTCTCTCTATTATTTCAAGATAATTTTTTATTTTAACAAATTTTTTCATTTTCGATATTTATAACATTTCAATAACGACATGAGTGTTTAACTATTTCAACTATTTCATTCAAGATTTAATATTAGTTAAAAATAACTAAACATTAAATTGTGTGAAAATAGCCATATAAGAATATCACGCTGTGTTATAATAAAAGGCAAGATTTCCTATAAACATCAAATATCGAACATTGCTATTTCAAGTAACTTTGTCAGATAAAGCTTTATTAATATACAATATATTTTACTAATATGCTTACTTATTTATAGATTTTCAGTGATTTCATTTTATTTAAAAAAATAAAGAAAGAAATTCATTAGAAATAGAAAGAGAAAACTTAATTTTAAATTGGTTTTAAAAAATTACGCGTATATAAGACATTTTTACAAAAATAAATCACAATTTAAAAATAGATAGCTAGAATAAATATGATTTTTGCATTGTTATGATTTTTTATGATTTTGAATTTATTTATTAATTATATATCGTGATACATAGTGTCATATTATCAAAGTGTCAAAATAAAATCAAAATGTCATTTAAGTCTAAGAATATATCTTAACGAAGACTTCTATACTAATGAAATGTTAAGTACAGGATATTCTAAAAATAGAAACATCAATTAATTGAAAATTTCTAAGGTAATTTCAATATTTTTAACATTTAACATTTTTTTTTGCAAAAACTTTTGTTAATGAATTATTAACAAAAAACACTGACTAATCACAAAGCATATAATTGAATCACAGATCCTTAGGATTCACGGAATACAAAAATAAAATATAAAATAACTCTTAGCTCAAATTACAATGATCGAAGTTAAATAATCTTTTAATATCGTTGTAATTTCGATTGTCCAATATTAATCCGCGCATTAGATTTGAAATATTTTAAGTTTATCATAATCTATAAAAATCTATAAAAAATATCATAATCTATAAAAAATGTTTTTTAATCAGTGTATTTATTATACATTTTGGACGCTGCTGTGATGTGTAGTAGATAATAGTAAATAAGTGATAATCGTGTACAGATGTATATGTATAAGAAAAATTTTATGCATTGTTATTATTTTATGTTAAAATAATAACAATC